CTGAATGACGAGTAAAACGAGAATTACAATGCGTTTTTGGACCTTGTCAAGAAGAAAAAGTGAATCGTTAGAAGAACCAGCCCAAATATGACAACAGTATTCGATACAGGGACGAATAAGAGATTTGTAGAGGTAGAGAATGGAATCAGAAGTAAGGAAATGGCAAGCACGATAAAGAGAAGCAACCTTAGCAGAAGCTAATTTAGCAATCAATTGTATATATGGTTTCCATGAAAGGTCAGTAGTAAGCGATAATCCAAGAAGACGTAAAGAGGAGGACTCAGTAAGAGGATTGTCATTCATTAATATAGGATTATTTCTTAAATTTCTAATTGCAGCTTTGCAACTACAAATGATTTTTTATTTAAAAAAAATTAGAGTAAAAAATTAAAAAAATTATGTTAATTTATTTACTTTTTAAAAGTTTATTAGTTTATTATTTTATTATTAAAGTTATATCGTTGTATATATAGTTTATTAAAAAATAGGCGCTGTGATTTAACTTGCATTATAAAAAAAAAGTCTAGCTTACGTTTTGTGCAAATTTTTAATGGAGCCATTTATTTAAAATTTCATTTTGAGTAAAAAAAAATTTTGGAAGGAAAACCAAAAAAATAATTGTGATAAAAATAAGCTAATTTTTTTTAAAGAACAAATAAAAATTCAATATTGAATAATATTTAGTAATAATTTAAAATAAATTTAACAGTTAAGTTAAACTCAAGCATTAATTTTAATTTTAATAAACTTAAATATATTTTTTAAATCAAAATTAAATTATATATTTTTAAAATCTAAATTAAATTATTTATTTTTTATATCAGAATAAAATTATATATTTTTATTAAATTAGTTTTAAATTAAATCATTACTTTTTATCAGAATTAAATTATATTTTTATGATCTTTGCTTCAAGTTTAAAAAATCAATCATTACAATAGAATAAAAACAAAATAATAAACTTTTAATTTTATGTGAGTTTTTTTCATTAGTAAATAGCGTTTATATCAAACGTAATTGCCATTCAAACTTTTGTAAGAACTATTTTTACATAAACGTTATTCAAAAGTTAATGTGACTTTTTTGAAAATTAATTATTTCTTTTATCTTATTGCTTATTGAATAAATAAAAAATTATACGTAAAATAGCTTAAGGTATACGTAAATCGCTCTACGCGTAACACTTTAAAACAAGGCCTGGTGTAGTCAACAAATTACTGATTAAAACTGTTGAAGTTTTAACTCAATTAATCTAATAACGCCATCCTTATTTCCAATGTTTACATTAGTTTAACACTACCAGGCACTTGCAAATCAATCAGGGATGGTTTATATTTTATAAAAAGGTGACTGGATGGCATCCCACCGCATCCAGCTTCACTTTGAGCACTGGTTATTATTAAATATTATTAATATATAAATAATAATATAAATTACAAACTAAATAACATTTCTAACATTTAGAAATTTGTACTAAAACTTTTAATATATGCCTAATATTCAATTTTTTTAATTGATTTTGGTCAAATTTGATTGAAAAATTTCTTTTTAAATGTTAAAAAAAATTTCAATAACTTTTAAATATTCAAAAAAAACTTTTCTTCCATGGTCTAAGTAGCACTAATTTAATAATAATTTTCTAATAAATAACAATTTTTTAAAACTTTTTGACAACATGTTTCATCAATATCAATTGATATCATCAGGTTTATTATTAATTACTTCACACCTTTTGTATAATCTTTTCTAAAGTTTCATGATAATTATTTAGTGCACAAAATGTAACTATGGTAACTATTGTAAAAAATATTAAGTTTTTAATGTAGACAAAAAAGTTATTAATTTTTTAACTATTTTTTAACTAATTTTTTATACCTAATGATGTCTATTAATATTAGTGAAACATGTCAAAAGGTTTTTAAAAAGTTGTTATTTATTTGAAAATTATTACTAAATTAGTGCTACTTTGACCATTTGAAAATCAAGTTTGGTCAAAGTTTGTGTTTCGGAGTTATAGAGTTGAGAGATGGTTATAACAACAATTAAATAGCCTCCTCGTCTGTAGTGGCCTTCTCAACCTTAGGGAGGTGAATAAACATAAAAAATATGTATATATTGTTTGTGAAAACCTGGCCTTTTTAGACCCAACAAGTCCGAGCCGAGCCTATGAATATTTATTGGGTTCTGGTCTAATACAATTTTAACAATAGCTTGAAAGGATTTTTCATTCTCACGCCGATTTAAAAAATGGGTTTGGTATATGTTACAGTAAATAAAATGACTTTTAGCCAGCTTAAATGTCTAACGTAAATATATTATTCTATACTTTTATTATGATGTTAAACTACCAAATAAACTTGACATTACTTTTAGAAATTTTTGTGTTAGTACTTACAAACATTTATAATTTATAATAAAATGCACGTAAATATACTAGCAAAAATAAACTCAACTAAATTAAAATATGTATAAGTGTTTAATACGTACCAGAGCAATTTTTTTTACTTATAAAATAAAAATTTAAAATTGTCCAATTACCTAGAACAAATCCTTGTACAGGAGTTAGATGCTACAGAAAATATTCAATAAAAGTTATTTTTTAATATCAGCAAATTTATCTCAGCAACTTAGCAAAATTAGACATTTCGTACTTTCTAATATTTTATGTAGTTTTACCAGTGTTAATGCTTGTGCGTTTCCTGTAGTATTTTCATTATTTTCAGTTAAATGTTTCTGTTTATAATGTTTGTTTTGCTGTTCTTTGTCTCCAACAAATAATCTTTTCAGTAAATTTGTTGTAAATGTTTGTATTTTCTTTGAATGCATAATACCATTTACAAAAGAATTACTATTTATTCTAGTTTTCATTGTCATTACTCTCTTCTTAAATTCTTCTTAAATTACCATTCTTTTAATTTTCTTAACATAAAATCAATTGGTAATCGGGCTGTTGCAAGATCTCTTAGCATCGTCTCTGCTAAAAGCTTCAACAGTTAATTTAATAGGCTTATTTTCCAATTTATGTAATAATTAAGTATTAATATTTTCTGTTAAATGTTAAAAACTTGTAATAATTCAATAAATAATTCAATATCTTAAAAATTAAGTCCAACATCTTGAAGAGCTTCTTTAATGATATAAAATAATTTTAAAAATCATTAGTAAATCATTAGATACTATTTCAAGCAATTAGTTCCAACAAGTTCTTATGTCTAACACTAACTGAAGTTCATTTCCTAAAACTATTTTGATTTTTTCTTGCAAAATATTATTTTGCACAGAAAAATTTTTAAAAATTTTTAACAATTATACAAACACTTTTCATATTATCTTCTACATTTCCTAAATTTGTTGATTTGACATGTCTGTACTCTTGGCGTAATTGCCGCTCTTGTCAGAATAATAATTTTCATCTTGATCATTATCAATACCATCATGACCATGGTCATCACTATCAATATTATCTTCATCTTGCAAGACAGCAATATTTTTCTTTTTATATAGTACATCACCAACAGCTAAGTGATTCAAACACAAATTATAGAGACTAGGAGATTCTAATCCAAATTTTATCATTAAACTTGCACAGTCGCTAATTGAACCAACTATATGTTTTTTAAAATTAATATTATATGTATTTAAATGTTGTTTTACTTTTTCAACTAATTGTACAGCTGTAAACGAGTTAAAAATTCTCACTAAACCCAGATTATACACTGCCAGTTCCTTGCAAATTGATATTTAGATATTTTCGAATTTTCATACTTGTCCATTGATCAAGTGTAATACTAAATCGCCGGCCTTCTTTAATTTTTTCTTGTAACTCTAATATTTCCAACTTCTTTTTTTCATAAAATTTATGAATTTCATTTGTAACATCTCTTTCAGCTTTTGGAAGATTATAACTTAATTTTACTAAACTTTCACGAATAAAGTTAGACTTTATAATTGCATTAACGGATATACCATCAAGAGCAGCCATTTTAGCAACAATTTCTTCTAAAGGTTTTCTTTAAAAGGAAACGAAAGTGTCGTTAGTTTTAAATCGTTTGGTGGTGGAATTTTCTCTTATTTCTTCTCGTGTTAGTAAAGAAATTCCATGTTTAACTTTTAAATTTTCAATCATTGATGAAGTATTTCCATCTTTATTTGATATTATCATTGACTTTTTACATTGACATTCACTTATTACATTTACCACCTTTTGAATTAGTACATTATGTGAAATAGTCCGACACTTTTGAATTCTTTGGCATAATGGGGCTGTATAAAATGTCACATTAAAATTATGATATTTCACTTTGTTCATAAAATGGAGAAATTAATCCACTATTTAATTTATAAATGAAAAGTATTTTTTTAAAAGTTTTTTAAATAAAAAGAATTAAGTTCAATCTTTCTAATCAAAAGTTTTTATATTAGTGAATTAAAACAATCGCTAATATAAAAACATTTGATTAAAAAAAAATTTATGAAATTAGTGTGTATTCGGACATGCATGGAAACATACATAAACTTGAATGTTCTCAAAACATATAAAAAGCCATGGTAAAGTTTAAAGTTTAAATTTCAAGCTACATAGATCAGGAATTCACAAACCCTACTTCTGTAGGGTTTGCTAGAAAAGGAAGGATACAGTGTAACGACGCGCCACTGCGTACAAAATAAGGCTGAAGAGTCAAATCATGAGACTCGCCAAGTCCGAGACCAGGTATCAAATCTGGGTATTAACCCACGGACTTACTGAATCTGGGTACCTGAATCCGAAAAACCTTATATATTTATACATATACACACACTTATATATATATCATCTATATAAGCATATTTTATATATTTATTTGTAATGATTGATCTATATTTATGTATATCAGAATGATTGATGTATATTTGTTAAAAATTGTTATTTATGTCTATTTGTTAAAAATTTTTTGATTTAAATTGTTTTTAAAATGTTTTTCATGAACTTATGATTTATATAATTTTTTTTTGCAAATTAGATTAATCCTGAAAATGAAACAACAAATTTAAAAGTTGAGCAAAGTCCTCATCCAGACAACTTGCTTGAAGATAAGATTCATTCAGTATCTGATCCATTAAATAATACAAATAAAACTTTAAAAAATGATACATTGAACCAGGTTGATTTTCCTGTTCATTTGTTATTAGACAATTCTGATATTACGAGTAATGATTATAATATAACAAATACTTCAATTGTCTCTGTTATAACGAATGATGAAAAAGTAGGACCATATCATGTTGAAGTATCAAGTAACAATAATACAGTTATTCAAAACGGAGATGCACATGTAAGTTTTCAGATTTTTATTATAATATAATATAAGATATTATATCTTTTATACAATTAATTTCAAATAAAGTTTTTATAAATATTATTGTTTTCAAATTTTCTTTTGCTTATTGTTTTTCAAATTTTTTGTATTTAAATTTTTTCACCTTATATCAGACACAATTTTAGTACAAAATTACTATGTTGAAATATTCCAATATATTAATAGTCAAGAAAATGTAGAAATGTTTTTAAATCTTGACTTACATCCACTCTTTGACAAAAACAAAAGAAAATGGAATAAATGAAACTTTTTTTGCTTTAATAAGTGTCCATCATCAATAGATACCAAACTCAAACTTTCAATCAATGAATATAGTGAACTTCTGTTTATGGCTATTTCAGTATGGTGTCATTTATTTATGTTTATTCTATTTCAAAATAACGTTTAGTGTTGACTAATAGCATACAGACTTTGACATTTTTGCTGCAATCAGTTTATATGATCTGCTAGTTTTTTAATCAATTGATAATTGAAAAAATCTGATAAATTTTTAACAATTTTTTTCTGTAGAAAATTCTTCTGAAGATTTTTTAGCTTTCTAAACTGCGTAATTAGTAATTTATTGAATCTTGTCTTTCTGTTTGCTGGAATTTGACAACTAATGGCAAAAAATTTGTTTAATTTTTAAAAAACTCTTGAGATTATTCTGATTTCTCTAATTTTAGTTCAAACTTCTACTATAAGCTTTTTGAATCTTTAATTAAAAACTCCTAATATTTTGAGTTTAAGGGGCTGTTAAGTCGGGCTGGCCCGGTTAGCCAGGCTGACTAAAAAATTAAAACATAAAATAATATTACGCATTTTCATTTTTATTTATTTGATTGTTTAGAAACAACCAGGAATGTCTTTGATTGGATTAAATAAAAATGCCGTGATTTATTCTATCCAATCAGCTATATTCATGAGCGGGGTTAGCTCTTTTTTTGTGTGTCTATATGAAAAATAAAGCTACCTGCTAATCGAGCTAGCCCGCCGCATACAAATAGCTCCTTACAACTTTCTCTTTGACAATGACAATGTTCTATTAAAAATTATATTGCAAAAAGATCACCATTTATATTTACCGCTAACAAATTAAAAATTAAAATAATTTAATAAAAAGTAAAGTTAACATGTTTCGTTAAATAGCTTTTTTTTTTTTTTTTTTTTACGTTTCGAGAATAAACTTTTTGTGTTTTTTAAATTAAAATAAAATTAAAAAAAAAAAATAACAATAATATATATATAATAACAATAATATATATATATATATATATATATATATATATATATATATATATATATATATATATATATATATATATATATATATATATATATATATATATATATATATATATATATATATATATATATATATATATATATATATATATATATATATATATATATATATATACGTAGAAAGATATTACAGAAAGTTGGAACAAATTAGAGCATCACATGAAAGAAATGCAAATGGATACGATAACTCCTAGTGCGGAAGAAAAGAAACTTTGGAAAATTGTGGAAGGTTCCGTGGATATTTCTGAATGTTTTTAATGGATTATCAAGTAAGCAGTAAAAATTCGAGAAAGAAAACGAAAAGAGTTTAATATTTTTCACAATGAAAAGTTTTGTTAGTTTTATATAGTTTTAAAATGGATTTAAAAAATATTTTTTTGAATTCTCTTTATCTCCATAATATTCATACAAGGTTTTCAAATAATATACTAAAGGCAATATTTAAAATTTATACCCTCTTTTTATTTATACCCACTTGTCCTCCCCATCTCCAGAAACGATATTTTTGAGAAACTGAATCAATTTTTTTTTTTATTGGTTCTATTGGATCAATAGTAAAAAACTTTTAATATGTGCATATGTTATGTTATATAAGCGGGTGAATAGAAGCGTTTTGTTTTTGATTTTGTATATTTATAGTGTGCATGGCTTACTGGTGCACTTCTTTAACGTTTTTACTTACTAAGTTAATATGATTTATTGAAACTTAGTGCACTAGTATTTTTTCACTTTCAAAAAGTATGTATAGTTTTTTTAATGATTCTTATTGAGTTTCATTTTTATACTTGTAATTTTTTTGCGTAGCTGCTACATGTTTTTATGTAATATAATTTCATTATGGAAAAAAAAAGTTTTTCAGTTTTACATAAGTTTTTTTTTATCTAAATAAATATATATTTTATATATCCAAATCAATGCGAATAATTTAGCTAAAAATCTACAATAAAAGGATATCGATAATAAAAATTGATAATTTCAATGGAAATTATAAATATACAATTTTAAATAGATTTACAATTTTATTTAGTAGTGGTGGTCAGGGAGGCAATCGTCCCCTTAATTTTTTTTTTTTTTTTTCGTATATCTATATGTAACAAAAGAAATAAATTTAGGTGGCTCAACCCCACTTTTCAAAAATTAAAAAAACGTCTCCAGACAAGGTTTACTTTGATATTTAAATAAAAATTAACTAAAAATGTATTATGGTTTATGGGCTTGCTAGCCCACAAATCTTAAAAGCTAAAAAACACATTCTTTTTAGATGGCTGAAGATGTTATCTCTATCTAAATGTTATCTCTGTTATCCCTATTTTCAAAAATTCTAGTGAGTGATCTGACTCGTTTATCATCCCTAGTCTTCTTACTATAGGGATTATCTTTTTCCGGATATTTCCGGAAATCCGAATTTTTTTTCAACTTAGAGTTTTTCTGGATATCCAAAACATTTTCAATACATTCAATACATACAATATGTATTTTTGTAATATATTGGTTTTTTAAGCTTTTTCAGTCATCACTCATAGAAAAATAAAGGTAGGTGTCAAAAAAAAAATTAGAAAAAACATAGCTAAAAGCGTGGTAAAAAAGAAAATAAGGAAAACAAATTCCGGATTTTTTCCGGATATTTTATTCAAACAATTTTCTGGATTTTTAAAGTATGACTGAGATGATCTATGTATTACTATCATAAGCAATGTTTTTGAGCTCTTAATTAACAAACGCTAAATTGAATCTAATAACTTTCTAATCAACATGGCAATATGGATTTCGATCTTCTCGATCTGTGCTGATTTGTTAAAGGTAGTAACCTATAGATTTTATTGTGCATTAGATAGAGGTTAAGGCTATTGCTCTCAACATTTTTTAAGCATTTAATAAATTTTTGCATGCTGGTATTCTCCGTAAGCTCTTTTCTTACAGTGTCTCAGATAACGTCTTTAGAAATAATAAATTCTTCCTTACCAATCGTAGTATAAAAGGTGTCCTCGATGGACAGCACTCTTCTTCATATCATATAACTTCATGGGTTCCTTAAGGTTCTATCCTTGGCCCTATAATTTTTAAATTTACATTAAGGATCTCCCATAAATTCTCAAATCTCAGGTGGTATTGTTCGCTGATACTACCATATATTCTTGTTTTGATAAGAAGCCAACACTCTCTGGTTGCTTAGAGTAGTTAGCTTGGAGTAGTAGCTTTCGATATTATTGGACATTAAAATATTATTGGACAAAAAAATTAAAACTTTTTATTCCATTTTACAGTTGTGGCCAATAAAAAAAACAATTTTTATTGTTGCACATGTCTATAATCTATAAACTAATATTTAGTTGAATGTCCTTTGTTTTTATAAACCAATTTGATGCGTTTTGGCATACAATTAAAAAGGTTTTGAAGTAGAAATATCTAGATATTTGATTGTATTTACAGTTGTGACTAGAGGTACAAAATACGGTGTACTACACCCAAAAAGTATATAAATACCTTTATACCACCTTTATACCAACTGTAGGAGTTGTGTTATAAGGACCGTATAGTTTTTCAACAGGAAAACGAACATGGTAGTTGTTTCATGGTTGAATATCAATTTGTTCCAGTCTAGAAGTCACGTTCTTGTACTTCTTGCAAAATGCTATTCTTTGTGTACCCTGCTTGTTATTTATTAACGACTTCTTGGCTGACTTCTTGGCAAGACACTTTAAACTCATTATACATCTTATTGTTCCCTCGCCTATGTGACTGCTTGCTTATTTCTCCTAATAATGAAGGACTTTTCGTTACAAAGTTTTTATACTCACTAAGTGGTTATTGTTATCAGTGGCGTACCTAGGGTAAATGGCACCCATGGCAATTACCAGTCTTGCGCCCCCCTCTAATGATAAGTTGCTTTCGTTTCGTTTTTGTGAATAACAACTAAGAAAAAAAATACAAAAAATTGGGCAAATTTTGGGCCATTAGGTCATCGGACAAAATTTTGGGCATTTGAGCAAAATTGGACAAAAAAGCTCTGTTGGTAAGTAAATTTTTTTCCACTGAGAGTTTTCGATAATTTTTAAAATTTTTAGACCTACTTTCTTGCTTCAAACTAGATTTGTTATCGAACCGGAAAAAAAGAAGACAGCAAATAATGGCAGACTTTTTGGAAGGTGAATAAACTAACTACAAGCCCATCACTTGCTCACAAAACTATTTCCTAATTTTTTTTTTTTTTGAACCAAGTTTTGTTCACAGAACGAATTTTAGTGGGCTAAAAAGGTCCCTCGATATTTCAAAAATACTTTAAACTAAGTTTAATTATTTCTATTCTTAACGCATCAGTTAAAATAGCCTTTTTCAATTCTTCACTAAACTTAAGAAGACTGATGTCGTTCTTCAATTGCTCTAAATATGGGACTTTTATTATTTTCTGCGTCTTTTCGGCATCAAGTTTTTATTTCCTTACACATCATCAATATCTATTTCTTTGTCAGCTCCATCTTCTAACTTTTCAGTAGTAGCAGACTTTTTATAACTAGAATTCTCTGAAGATCTTGTCAATATATATTCAAATATCTTTTCTCATCATTAGATATTATGTCAAATTTTTTCTCTAGCATCATCTAATTCTTTGGAATTTTTAGAATTTTCAGAACATACTAAAGAAATCTTATTTGTGCTTGATTTGTGAAATAACGTCTTATAAATTTTGCTGTTTTTTTCTACTTTTTTTGCCTCAAGCAAGCGTCTTTTTTGACCTGCAGCTCCACTTTTTTTTCTTCTCAAATGAACGTTTCACAGTTCTTAATTTTCAGGTAATAATTCCGTTTCATAGTTCTTAGTTTTCAGGTAATATTTAAGTATAAAAGACAATTATATAATTTTCAATTTGTGTAAAAAAATTATTGTATTTACTTTTTCATTAACGCAAACTGCTTTTTTTAGCGGTTTTTCATTTCAATCTACAACTTATGTATATATGCTTCACAAAACTTATATAATTAAAAATTTTATTTGCTTTCATTTCTATTGATCTATAGTTTGTTGCAAAAATTCTTTTGTCTAAACGGCTGGTAGCGTAAGAGTTGAACAGGAGCCCTGATTAACAAATATTTTTTAAAAATCACGAAATAAAATTTTATAAACTTATGATTAAATGTATAATATTCAAGAAGTACATGATTTAAAAATTTCACTTCAATAACCTTAAAAAAAAAGTAATTAACATGATTTTTAATGTTCCCCTGAGAGTTTATATATTTCTTTTTCCTACTCGGTGTAGTTAAGGTGATTTTTAAATTATTTGAGTTCTTTTATTTGAAATTAGCATGAGTTTATCGTAGCCTACTATCTAAACAAGAGCTTAGATGTTATATTTTTTTTTACCTTATGTTTTTATAGTATTCAAAGAAACTTCTCTTTTTTAAATAACTTTTAAAACTTTTTTACTACCCTTAGCAGTGAACCTAAAGATCATCATTTTTTAGTCTTTAGATCAATTTTGCTCGACAGTGTTAACTTGATTTTAGTTTTAATCTGTATTGACACATTAATTAAACATACTTGTCAAAATACACGCCCAACGCACGTTCCATGCCTGCCATACCCTAGTTACGCCACTGATTACTGTTTATATTTAAAGTAAAGAATGGCTTGTCTCCAATAACATTTCAAACTTACTTTAATGAAATTTCTAATAAATATCCAATAAAACTTTTAGAGAAGAACTTTGTCGTAAAAATGACATTTCTTAAAATAAGCTTTTACCGAATTCAATATAAAAAAGCATTAAAAAATATATATTGCAGGGTCGACGACACGGGTTTTGAAGTGGGCAGGCATAACCATTAGTTTGTGAAAAAAGTCCTCTATATCAATATTTAAACATTCTTTGAAAAAAGAAAAAAAAACGATCCTTTAGAAAATTTTAGTGCAATGGGGGGAAGACATGCCCGATGCCCCCTCCCTCCCCCGGTGTCGTCGGCCCTGTTTTGGTGCTTGGCGTAAAACAAAAATAATATCTTCAATATAATATTTAAAAAAAACAAAAAAACAAACAGCATTTACTCATTAGGGACTTCGGTATATTAGATTTCAAATACATTTGATAAAACTAGTTTCAAAATTTTAAAATAAGCAATTATCACTTCAATCAATAACTTATCACTTCTTCAATCAATAACTTATCACTTCTTCAATTAATCATACAAAACATACTACCACCAAGATCATCATTGCAAGTAAATGTAAAAGTTTAAATAACAAATATATTTTATCTTTTAAATTCTATATAATTAAAAAAGCAAAAAATTAATACAAAAAATGTAAAAATTCAAATTAAAAATGAAGTTCACCCCCATCGATTTGGGTAAACATTTCCCTTAGACTGTTTTAACTTTCATGTAGTATGACGTCATATTGTATATAACGTTTCTTCGAATTAGTCTTTTTATATTTATTTTTCATATCATCATCGTGCGACGCAACAATTAATGTAGTTGTGCAATCGTTTTTCGGAAGCATAAACGTAACACGTGGTAATATTAATGAGTGTTACATTTTTTAAATTTCAAGATAAATATTTCCCAAACATTTTGTGCTGAAGACCTACTTTAACGATAACTTATGCGATTCGTAAAACAATATGTAACCACATTCCGAGTTTTTTTGTACGTCAGTAGTTAATCCGAAGAAATCTTCGATTGAACGAGTTTCGATTTTCTTTAACAAAAAAAAAAAGAGCAAGTAAAAAGTGAAAGCTTAAGTGAAAAAAACAAATAAACAAAAAGAAATCCAAAAAGTTTTTCTCTTTTGAGCACTAAATTATGGACAATGAAAAAAAGTTTTTTTTGAAACTTTTACTTAAAATTAAACTTTAACTTGGCGACAGTGTATTGCTTTATACAAGCTAGATGGATAAAAATATTTTGTTTTGCAATTTGATTAATATTTTGGTGTTTTAGTTACGCATTTTTTGATTATTTAAAGTCTTTATATGTAAGTACTTTTTCATAGTTTTAGGATTTTTCAAATTTTAGTAATGAAAAAAGTTAATTAGGTAACAGAAATAAATACTTTATTTCAACACAGAATAAATAATATGTAATAAAATTTTGCCAAAAATAAAATATGCATCTATAATTTAGCTGATAACGTAAAATTATTTTTTTTTTTAACAATTACTTTCGGATGAATCATTGTTATTTTCAATATCAGAAGAATTGTATTCTCAACTAGCTGTGGTGGTATTACAGGTGGGACAATTAAACTTAAAACTTTTAACGGTAATTTACTGGTTTCCTTACTTGACATTTCTTTGTATAAATTGATGACAGGATTTGATGTTACCAAAAGCGTATTGAGTAAGTCTACATTTTTAGAAATACGTGAGTTTTATTTTTGTATGATGCTGGCGGAATCGACAAAAATCTTTGTTCCGAGCTTCTTGAGTCTCTTCCGATAGCTATCCGATTGGAAGAAAGCATATTTTTATAACTTCCGTTCTATGTACACGTATTTTGTGCATTTTATGTATAAATTCGTAATCTCACCACTCAACTCTGGCTTCATAAAAAATCTGCGAGCTGTGTTCCCATCATTTATATTCCCTAAGCCAGGTTTCAGCTTGTCTACAATAAGGCTCCTATGGTTTTTAAATTTTTGTTTGATATCTTCTGAACGTATTTGGACAATAGATTTATCTTCATCGCTTCTAGTTTGCCACCATTTTACATCTAAATGGTAGATCATGTGAAACATGCACTCAAAAAAATGAATACACGCATGCAAAGTAGACAGACCAAAAACATGTTCTTTTTTTAACAAATTAGTCTTTTAGTTCACCGTTCATCATTGTGGGAATCACACCACATATGTTACATTTTTGTTGAGAACTTGAATCATTCAAGGCATCGCAAAATCTTTTATCTAGCATTGAGAGTATTACGCCGTGTTTCACAGCAATTTGAGATTCACCGAGTCTTATAGATGTGAGATAAACTGTTAAAAAATTCCGGACGTTTACGGAACTATTTTCTGTTATTAGTACGGAAAATACTCATTTAACAAAATTAAACGAAAACTTTTATTGTTTTAAAATAAATTTTGAAACACAGAAATACCCGTTAGAAAAAGGATTTATTATTGAAACCAAAGTAAAATTTTTAGGATACAAACTTGTCACATTAAAAAGCAATTTTAGATTTTTTAGCTAGCGTGTTTTTTGAAAGATTCCTAGTTAGATGGACCTCGGTATATTTTATTCCAATTGAAACAACTAAAATATTAAAAAAAGAGGTTGTTGCAATAGTAATGAAAACTGTAAAGAAATCTGGATGGTTTGCATTTAGTGAATGCATTATAAAGATTCTTTTGTGTTCCAAAGATGAAGAGGAGCGAAATTAATGAATGTGCAAAAGGTGCTAGAGATTAGAAAGGAAAGAGGTGATAATACTCAGTTCGGAGATAATTCAGTAAGAACTCGCAAAACCCATATATAAGTACTGATGCTGATAAATTGACCAATCTATTTGAGTGGAAAGATTCAATATACAAACCATTACTTACCACAAGCCTCACGACCTAAAGTCAGAAAAATATTTTCACAAGCCAGTAATTGTTCCAGATTGGCCATGCCATTCAGGTATCGTTAACCTGCTCAACACAACATTAAAGTTGTGTTAAGCAGGTTTTTTTTATGCAATAACAAGAATATAATAACTTATTTAAAATTTTCTAATGACTAAATTGTTTTAAATGTTTAATATAGGTTAAAGACTCTTGTGTAAAAACATATTTCCATGAGAAGCGAGAAGCATATATAAGAGCACAAGAAATCAGTAGGGGTTTTATGAGCACATACAATGCTAAATATAACTGAGTTGGACTCACAAATTTTAAATAAAATTTATAAACTATTAATTGTTAATTATAATAAATTTTAATAAAGAGATCAGTATTATATAATATATAGTATAAAATGTATCAGTATATAATATACATTTTGTTATAACAAAATAAAAAGACCTACAATAACATTCACTAAAATAAAATATGAAAAAATCAACTAATTTTTTAAAAAACAGCCTTCACAAAAGCAGCCATTATGTGTTTATTTTTTTGAGTTTTTAACAAAATATGACATTTTTCATAAAGTTTAACATGCTTATATTGAGTTTATCAAAGAATTAAAAAAAGTTTTTCTTTTAACCTATAATTTTTCTCTTTAATTATTTATATCTTATTCATTTTCTCGTTGAAAACTAAGCGTTCTCACCAACGAGACATATACAAGGTAGCCCATAAGTTACTTTACATTTTAAAAATTAAATAACTTTTTTCTATTAATATAATTCTATTTCTCTTTTCAGAATTAAAAAGTATAATCTTTGGAAATAGATAACTTTACAACAGACAACGAGTGAAGATAATTAAATTTTACTTTGAAAATAGATGGTCAATTGTTGCAATGCAAAGATTGTATATACGTCATTTTAATGTTCGAAATCCCCCTAGTAGGCATGCAATAATGAACTTAGTGACGCGTTTTCAAGAGCATGGCTCTGTAAGTGATAGAACTAGAAGTGGATGAGGTTGTTCAGTAAAAATACACGTGAAAATACTGAAGCTGCGAGCCATAGCATTGAAGAGAACCCAACCACATCCACTTGTACCCTTTCAAAGTTCAATTAATGCAATTTTTACAACCACCAAACTTTCAAAAACGACTAAATTATGCTGTCAGGTTTCAGAGAACTACAAGAATTGACAATGAGTTTATTCACAAGTTGATCATGGGAGATGAAGCTCATTTCCATTTGAATGGACATGTGAATAAGCAAAATACCAGATTCTGGAGCACCGAAAATCCACGCCCAGTTCATGCGAGTTCATTACACACGGTTAAAGTTACAACATGGTGTGGAGTAACATCAGAAAGGGTTATTGGACCCTTCTTCTTTGAAGGTGTAAATGATAATGCTGTGACTATAACTGCTGAGAAATATCGAGATATGTTAGCGAATTTTCTTCAACCTCAGTTAGCAAATACGGCAGGGTATTGGTGGCAACAAGATGGAGCAACTGCACACACCGATAGAGCCACAATGCAGTTGTTAACTGCAATGTTTCAGGATCGGATAGTCTCTCTTAATTCCGATTTTGAATGGCCTCCACGTTCTCCTGAGTTGACAACACCAGACTTTTGGCTTTGGGGATATCTTAAAGACAAAGTGTATGCAAATAAGCCCCAAACTATTCAAGATCATAAGGCAAACATACGACAGAAAATTCTTTCCCTACAACCTCAGATGTTAGAGTGTCACGAAGAATAGCTTAGAAAGAGCTTGACATTGTGAAGAATGGAGGCTATTTAAGAGACATTATCTTTCGCAATTAAGTTAGAACTAACTTACAGACTCTAAACTTTGTAATAAAAAAAGAATTAATTAAATACAGTCATTTAAGAAAAAATTATTTAATTTCTTAAATGTAAAGTGATTTCTGGGGCACCCTGTATATATTTTTTTTAGATTCAGATTCCCCATAAAATTCCTTGCAAAAATGAACTCCCCTTACTTTTAAAGTTTGATAAAAACAGGAAAAAAACAACACACTTTACCGAAACATTCTTTGTCTAAAATGTGAAAAACGTGCCTGATTTTTGTAAAAATACCCTTCACAAAAGCTTCTTTTTTGTGTTTATTTTTATGACTTTTTGAACCAAATAATCAACTTTCCTAAAATTCAACATAACAATTATTGAGTTAACTAAAAACTTTAGAATTTTTTTTTTCTATTTCTAAGAATCAACACATCATATTATGAAAGAGTAATTTTTAATAAAGCATGTTTAATATACATTGTACAGATCGTTATACTTTATCAAAATTGTTATAGTTTTTTTATTTAATAATTTATTTTTTATTTGTGTATTAGCCGTTAAAAGGAAATGTAAATCAAAGAAATTTGTCTTGAAATAATATTTTCAATAACATACAATCTATTTTATATCTAAAATATTCACTATAAATAAACTTTTATACAAATGGAATATTAACTGCAACATTCTTTTTATTTACGAAAACTATCCGGCAGCTGCAATGACTAAACCTCCCGTTCCTTAACAGAAAAAAACCATTGTATATTTTAACAAAATATCTGTTTATATATGGAAACTTTTGTTTACATTTAACAGTATACTACACTGTAAAAAAACTCTGCAGTACTTCTAAAACTTTTTCTGTTGTTACTCTCGAGTTCCTAATAAACGTCCCCCCCCCGTTTATTAATTTTTGGATATTTTTCCCACCCACCCTAAGCTTATTAAGACCCCCCGTTTAATGTTATCAAAAAAAAAAATTATATATCTCAAAAGTAAAAAAAAAAAATTCAGTGAAAATCGGCCTTAAAAATTTGAAAATAATTTTCAGTCACCGATAAAAACAAAAACTTTTGGTGTAAACAGGTTTTACAAATTGTCGACCTATTAAATCTCGATTTGCTAAAATTGAACTTTTAGTTTATTTCTTTGGTTTTAATTATAGGATTTAATATGCTGAATATAAGTTTTATACTTTGCAAAGTATAAAACTTATATCAGCATATTAAATCCTATTGAAATTATGATAAAACAGCCTAACCCTACCGTAACAGCTGTTAGAAAATGCGCTTTTGACTTGAACATGCATAAATAGTTTTATGCATGCTTTGTAAAAAATATT